TTAAATGTTTAATTGTATAGTTATAGAATAATAGTGTAAACAATTTTTAGTCAATGCGATAAATCAGTTTTTGATGCAGTTTATAAAAAATACAATTCAACGTATTTATTAATTTGCATTCAATTTAATATAAAAAGTGATTATTATCAAATGAAACATTTTACTAAAACCAATGTTTAGCTCTTTATTGTTTGGCAATAAAACAGTTTGATTAAAGCATTCAATGATGTTCACAGAAAATCTTACTTCAGTATAAATTGTGTTTCATGATTAGTAACAGTTGCAAATCAAAATATCTAATTATCTTTAGTACGTAATAAAATAATTAACTGTAGTGAACTTATCGTGAAACCAAAGTGAAATGTATTACTAATTAAATTAATTTTTAGCTAATTTCTGTATTTAACTGATTCATGATGTGGAATAAGAAGAATGTCCAAGAATATAACAGTAATGGAATTAATACCATATGTATTTATGGAATATATCAGTGTATTAAAATATAATAAGTTTATTTTGTGTAATAAGTGTCAACAAAACTACAATCTATCTAAAAAACAAATAAAAACTAAGGATATGTGTGTAGAAAACGTTTGTAGGAAATAAAAAAATTAAATTATTGTAAATTTGTAAGAGGTTTTACTAAAAATAAGATTGATATGTTTCACGATTTTCGCCTTATCTTAAGTCTTTTAATTTTTTGGGATGTTAATAGCATAAACAACAAAGTTAAACCCTTAATCAATTAATTTCTTATGTTAATGACGTACGACAGTTTATTATTTACTCTTAAATATAACGATCAATATTTTAATTCAAAATATTTTAGCTGTAAATTATGATCATACACCTTAATCATAGTGTATAACTAACTGGAAAAAAAATTGTAAAAACAAACGATACATAAAAAACGTATCACTGACGGTTGTTTTATAACAAAGAGAGTTAAAAATAAAATATAAAAGTTGAATTTCATAATAAAAGTAAAAATACAAAAGTAATAATGGTCCTCTTAAATATACAATTTTATTATGGATAGTGGACTGTGTCACACCCCGTATAGTTAAACAAAATAATTGTTTTCCATATATTTTTAACGTTTTAAACTGTGTAATATTAGCCAGAATTATTATTAAAATACTTTGTCGATTTGTTTATTATAATTTATAATATTATATATAATAGTAAACTGTCTGCAGTCGTACAAGACAATACAGAATCCGGTTGACTGGCGTTACAGTATTAGTTATTCCAAACACCAGGTGAGGATTTGGTAGGTCTTACAAAACATCAGCTGGTAGGAACTTAGATTTCTAAGTTCCGGGTGAAGCTCTTCATAAGTTGGTGACACAAGCAAACAAACACATAAGAGAGCCAACAATGAAAAACCCATCCTTATCGTTAAACTACACTTATTTATCAGCAGTTGCAAATAGCCTTTCATATCAAATGACCAGGGGATCTGTTATACGTTGGGATCTATCCGTATATCAGATTTCCATTTGGGTACAGAAATTGGTATTCTGTAATTTGTAAAAACTTTTATATTATGCTCGTGTGTATAAATTACTATACTTACATAAATCGGGGAAAGAAACCTAACAATTTAAAATGTAAGGTTTTTCAGACACCAAGAAAAATGCATAAAATGAGTGTTTTTTATGTTTTGTATCATAGCTTTAAACACTAATTAAATTTTAACAAACTTAAACACATGATAAAGGAATTTTTATTTATGCTCTAACGTAATAATAGTCTAGAACTTGACTATTATTAGAGAAAAATCTAGCTTTTTTCCACATAACCAATGTTTTTGCTCAATAATACACATAAGCATTTTTTCTACTGCACAAAATAACTTTGGAATTAATAATTATAAGCATATTATTCAGTTTTAGTAGAATATTAGATTTTATAAATCAAGTGCAATGAAAATTATCCATTACTTGTACACCTAAAAAAAAAATAATATAGTTTTTAAATACTAACTCAAAAAATCAAATAAAAGAAGTTAATAGATAAGCTCTGAATAGTATAGAACATATCGAATGGACCAAAAGAAAAAACTAACCACGTTTAATTGATTTATGTACATTTTTAATTTCTTTTTTCATGATTTGTCGGTCTCTTTTGAAAATTTGTATTGATACTTAGTAATCGTGTCAGCTTCAACAATTGTATTCAATCAAGAATCCCAGTCTTTTAAAAGTACTTAGGTTACAATTTTATTATACAATTATAAAATAATAATCTTCTTTTGTAATTAAATATTAATTCTACAAAATCATTTCTACGTCATTTAATAAAACTTCCCTAGAAAAAAATATATACGTATTGATTTAAAAAAAAAAAACCTCTGCAATTATGGCCATTGAACCGTTGGTAGGTTTTTATTGGATTGTTTTTTATTTGGTTTTGGATTGTGTTGTGTAAACACGAACAGTAGGAGTAAGATTTCTATTTTTTCTCGATGTTAATTTTAATATTCACCCTTTGTTTATATAAAACATATTAGCATATTATATAATTTTATATTTGTGTGTAACTATGAAATATATTATGAAAGATACCTTTTAAACATTTAAACCTTAAGAGATGCCACTCCTTTATTAAGGAGTCAACTAATTAGGTGTTTAAAAAACGTTGATGAGGATTCTGAAACGTATATCACCAAAACCTGAGTGAAAGTGACATCTGCTTCATATATTATATTTAGTTTAATTTATTTGAACAGTTTTTAACTAATAATACAACTATTTTGTGCTGGATTTTGAGATATAAATCCTCTCAAGGCAAAATATTTACTGCTAAGCAATTAGGTTTTATAATAAGTTTTTGTACCATAAATACTCAAGGACCGTTTTGGGTTTCATTCGAAAACACATAGCTAAATGTTATATGATACATTTGACAACGCTAGACTAAAAATTATGCAAAATTTTATAAGAAACCGTTAACTAATCACATAAAACACTCTGAAATTGGCCATTGCTTGTTGCACCAAGTGAGATTTCCAATCATTTAAAGTAGTCTCTTAGATTCAGAAAACTAGTTTTTTTGGATTTGTCGAACTTTATTTAATATCATGAAATTTAAACGTAGCTATAAACACACCTGCGGTAGTTCACAAATTATTTTATTTTTCGTTTTATGAAGAACTAGCATTTTAGTTTCCGTAGAAAAGGTAATAACAAAAAAAAAAGGAATAAACCCGTGCAAAAGATACAATAGAAAGCGACTTCAACGAAAGTAATTTTTGATTATACTTTCGCCATAACTCAGAGAAAAATAACTTTGAAAATTACGTTACTTGAAAACCATAAAATTAATATACTCTTTAATTAGTTGGAATATGTATAATGGCTCCTAAATCAATTATTGTTAAATATTCTCCAATATATTTCGCCCCTTTATAAATAACCCTCTTTACCATTAAGTATAAAGTGGAAATAAGCTAACACTCACACACATATATATTTTATATATACATTATATCTGCCCTATTCCGCAGTCGGGTAATAATAATTAAAAGGGTACCAACTACATGCATGTAATTAAATAAAACCAGAATCTCTTGTACGTTTAGTATTTGGAAGCATTTGTACGTTAGTTTAATACTTTCTCATTTCTGTTAAATCTCTTTATTACTACTATGATACTTCCAAAATTTAGTTAAATTATTTTAGGTTAGTACACTTTGAACAGCAACAACTGCTGCCAACTCGAATTTCGCAAATACAGCTGAAATTCACTTCTAACGTGTTGAGTGTTTACCGAATTACATACCTGAACTTTAATAATCAACCTAAAGAACTTTGAATAACACGTGGTTTTAGGTTAATTATTTGTCTTTTTCTGAGTTCTGACTAGTAAACGTGAATATCCACAACGCGGCGTTAAGCATTACTCGCAGATAAATATATTTATAAACTTTATAGTTTAGGATAGTTGTAAATGTGTAACATGCTTTGCATCGGCATGTAGATACTTTTAGCAAGTTTTCCAGTAAGGCTTTCATTTTTTTTAATAGCGATGAGTGATGACTACTGAACCTTTGGATAATATCACATATTATGTATACTTTTATCGATTTTTACTCTCTTCTTTGCCTACTACTGTGAACATATTTTCCCACTCATGTTTATTTTATTGTATAGTTACTTGGGCGGTTGGGTATGATATTTTAATTATTTCTAGCGTTCGAGCATTTTGAGTATTAACAAAGAAACGGCCACGAAAATCCTTAATTATATCAAAGTAAGGATGATAAAAATAGATGACTATATGGTGTAAGCGACATTTTTTTATAGAATCTCAGAACGATAAAAGGTTCATAATATAATACTGTTTGTTTTCTATTAAATTTAGTATTAGAGTTGCACGGCACTCTACAGGAAAAATAATCTTTTCAATACTCTTGTTTATTTGACCTAAAAACTATAATAATCAGATAATTTGTTTTTCTATCGCTGAAGTGTTTTAATTACCTACTATTTAATCGTTTGTTTCACGGTGTAATTTAGTGTGTCGATTTCAAATCATTATATTTTGTGATTTAAATATCACGAATATTAATGAATTAAAATGGAATTCAGTAGTTTTTTTAGCACATTAAGCAAATGGATACTACACAGATAACGCCCGAAACGATATTATTCCTGTCGTACAGTTCGGAAGTATGGTATACGTTATGGTAGATACGTCATTTAGACTTTTCAAACGCAAAACTGTACGCCAAAGCTCACGTTGTGATTTTGATTGCATAAGTTTGAAACTGATGCGGTAATATAATTTCCGGTGTCAACCCCTCGTCAAGCGATGACGAAAAAAATAATAATAACGTAAATGAATATAAACGACCGTTACGGTAACTATAGGAGTAACGTCGCTAATAGCAAGACATGAAACGCGATTTCTAAGACACGATCGACATCAATAGTAGGTAAATTATTTCATGTGCCGGGGGCGATCGGGTTAGGCTGGTATAATCTTGTACGTACTTTCTTTTTGTTTCGCATAAGATTTGCGTCCCGGCTGTCCTGTGCGTTGCCCGGTGCGTGCGATCCCCACAACCGCAAGGCCATTCTCACGTACACGACCGTTATGATGATGACCGGCACCACATATTGCACGAATAGCAACGTCACCCTGTACATGAACATGGTCCGTTCCGGTAAACGCATATTGTGACAGAACGGTTTCCAGCCGGCTATATTGCGCGATAAACATAGAACAAAAAAACACAAAATATATAAGCTACTGCACAGGGTTATATAAATTTCACGTTACAGTGACATTTTATATGAAATAATATTTGTTTAGCTTTTAATACAGCTAATAATGTAAAACGATTAAAAATTATATTTCATATATCTGCACAAAAAATAATTTGTTCAGTGTGTAGTTTTAAACCTACAATGTTCTTATAACCAACATATTATTTGGTTTTTCTATTTAAAGTAGGATAATGTATTGAACGTAACGATTGATCGATAACCAGTTTTGAATACATATTTTTAGAGTTATTAGCATTTGAAATTTAGACGAGACAAAAAGTGTGGGTGGTGATGCATGTAGATATTAATAACTTACCAGTCTTCATCCCTAGTCTCACGCGCTGATTGAGTAGGTTCGGGGCGAATAGTAAAGATCAGGTAGAATATGATCGTTACACTAGCGGCTAGCCCATAATTTTAAAAGCTTACTACTCAAAAGATGTTCAATTTTTAACTGGTTTTTGGCCAGTCATTATTTTCATTATATTATTCTGATATTATAACAGGCAAATTAAATATGTATGTTGCCATTACGTTTTCAGAAGTTACCCCCTAAAATTATCCTTTAAAAACTATTTTTAACTTCACTATTAAAAATGTTTTTTGATAATTTAATATAATAATGATTTTGTTCGAAACGTTTTTTACTAAAATAAATTGTCATAGATAAAATATGAACATAGAATTTGTACAATCCTGTAAATATAAATCTTATTGGCCATAAGCAATATATCCGATGTTGATTTGCTGCAGACATTTTAGACTCATATCGCTTCTCCGATGGAACAATGGTGTAAGTGCAAATTTAACTGTTCTTCAGAAAACGTGATTTAAAATTTTATTGTAATGGTAACCGTACACAATGGTAATCGACAAAATTGCTCTCTAGCGGTCAATAATAGCCAATAGGTATTAAACTTATGCCATTGTTTTGCTCGATAAAATGAAATGTTATCGTACTGTTTTCGTACTTCAGTCAAAAATTCAAAAATCTGCACTTACACCATTGTGCCACTGGAGAAGCGGTTTACTCGTATAACGTTATTCAATATAATGTTATAAGTAGCATCATTTGTTGCTGTTCGTCACTTAGGTAGTATGTACTAGCTAAAATTAGATGCCGTTTATTATGTATGTCACGCGGGGCCGGTCAAGTTATATGTTGATATTAAAATTTTAGTCATGCGTTTGGTAAAGGTAATGTTATGCACTTTTTGCACGTACTATTGTCTTAATGACGTGTGTGTATTTTTGTCAAAAATTGTTTCCGTAGTATTAATAAATGATCATTTAACTCATTTAATCTAATCGGGGTAGCCGATAGGATTTATGTTCAAAGCCTTTAATTTGTCAACAACAATGTAATTACAAACAAAAATTAAGAGTTGGCTGATTTTTTATTTTTATATATGTAATTATAACTACTCTATATAATTTACAACTAACAAACGCTTCAATATTAAATTATAGGTAGGTTGTATAAAAATAACAAGGAATGCTATATTAATTATTACAAATGTTAATATAAAAAAATTAAAGTATGGTATGCTTATCGAGATTGAACTCGTAAAATAAATTTAATTAAAATTATTTAAACGTTAAGTTTTTTTATACGATTCCTCTGACAGTATTTCAGTGAAGTCATAATAATTTTATCGACAAGGAAATAAGTTATTCGGATTTGTTGAAAGGTAATAATGTTGATTCAGCCAAAAAATGCAAATTGCAAAGTTTCCACTGCTTCTGTCACCTGGTGACTTTCCTGTATGGTGCAAATCTAACGCGATACGACGTTATCAGATAATTATTTCAGATTTATGTCAGCTTACAGCTACTGACCAGTTAATTGTTATAGATTACGTTAAGACCTACTCTTTTATCGTATCCGTCCAAACGCCACACCAAAACTTATTCGATTACCGAACTGTAAAATAATCCTGACTGACGATTCAAACTCATGACTCCACAAAGTAGACTACAGTTTAGACTTATTCTGAAGGTAGAGGCGGGCTGCTTTGGCGTAATGAGCTGCAGTTGACCATGCTTAGGAGGGAACTGCATGTCTAAGTGGCGATTGGGGTGAAGGCAAACTTTTTAACAACAGTTTCCTTTGGCAGAATCTTTGATCGTGCAACGTGAGAAGTCGTTTGAATAACTAGAGTTCCATGGTCATCAACAGCTGTTCGAGTATTTTGATCTACGTTATCGAAGATACTTATAAATCCCAATGTAGGAAATCAAACATTTTAAATTATTTAGAAGATTTAGATGCTTGACCGGAAACGCCGATAAAAAACACTCAATTCCCACCAGCACAGCTGACAAAAAACAACGTGGATGCAACAAAAAAGTATGTAACAGTAAGTATGTAACACTCCAAACATTCTAGTAGCAAGCTTTGCTTAACATTTTTTGCTTTAGTAGAACCTTTGACTGGTTTCACCAATATGTTAAGTATTCACTATGTTGTTGTTAATACATTTAATATGTTGTTAAATTAAAATAAAGCTTGTGTTACTGACCACTTAACAGATTCACAAACGGTTTTGTTGATGTCGAAGAACACACTAAATTGCACTAGCCACAAATACTGAGATAAGTTGCACTTGAATTAAGGTATCAAAATCGACACAAATCACCTCCAATATGCATGCGGATCACTGCAAACTTAGCACACGCACGGGTAGCCCACAAGGAAACTGTGCGACGACAACAAACGCCTAGGCGGAGTTTTATAACAGATGTATTTACATCAACTAAATAAAATTAATAATAAAAAGATGGCGGTCATTTTACAAAAATTTAAGAATTTTGAAGTTCTGGGGAAGTATAAGTAGAAGGGATTAGTATAAAAATTATTATTTTCGTCTTAATCCAAATTTAGGACTAATTTTTCTATTTTATTTTAGAACGGTATAAAATATCGTCCCTGTAAAAAAACATTTATATCGTTTTAAAAGGCATAAATAAAACATTGAAATGTTTAGAATTGGATTATTATTTTTAAAAGTTTAAAAGCAGTAAGCTATCAGAACATTATCCAATTCACGATTTTAATCAAAATTTGTTGTGATTATAACAAATAATTTAAATTTCGGATTCAACTTGTTTAATTCCAGATGGCAGTGTTATAAAATAATGTATAATATATTTTTTATGGCATTTCCGTCGACCGTCTAAACAGATTATAAAATATTTTTAATGAAATACTGTCATACATTATCATATCATTACATAGACAGATAGTAGGTAAATTAAGAGGATTAGTTCAATAATCAGTGTTCATATATTTGTTATTCACACTTTATAACCAAATTAAGATCTACCGCTATATTTTTTAATGTTTTTAATATACATTGTAGTTAATTATTCAAAACTAGATATTCAGCGAATATTACTTTTTTATTAGACTATTTATATTTCAATAACTTTTTTAATATGTATACCAGCTTCTGTAAAAAAAGAAATTAAAAAGCGAATATTGCTCTAGGCAAATAATTATTTTGTATAATATTAAGTAAAAAAGTTTCAAAAATTCTCGAAAAGAAAAAATACATTTTAATCATCTTAAGAGAAAAGTTGTACATTCATTTAAGTAATGGATGAACATACAAAAAACATACAGGAAAACCAATTTTCGTGTCTATTGTTTGTATACGATGTAGTTATAGTAGATACAGTACAACAATTTTAAGAGTTCCATTAAAGCAACAGAAAGCATGCTTTGAAGAAAACGGCTTGAGATTAAATAGACCTAAAGTGATAACGATGTATAGAATTAAGGGTGGTCAAATTCGATTAATAAGTTATAGTCAATTTATATTAATAGGTATTATTGCAAAATATCGTGGCGTGTTGAGAAATGAAGGATTCTAAGGTAGAGGATTAGACCTAACATATAATTTGGGCTTATTTAAAATGTTATTAATTAAACAGAATTAATTAAAATCTCGATCATTTTATAGTTCCTGTTTGTTGTATAGTATTAAATTGTATGCTGTTGACGTTCAATCTTTTTCGTATGAAAATGTTTTATATGTATTTTTAATTCGTACACGACGAATACTTTTAATTTATTTCATGTAGATAAGTGTTGTAAATGATAAGTGTGATAAATGTAAGTGGTGACATGCTAGATTTCAAGACTGTGTAATTTATGATTTGTGTAAAAGCCGGATAGAAGTGTATATACCCGGTTGTCGCATATTGCTCAACATCCTACCGGATGTTTGTTTCATCAAAATATTATATTGACACAGATATGAGCTACATTATAAAATATAACCAAGTGGTCTTATACGCGTTTATCTTAGTGATTCGCTTATTTTAATATTATGATACTCGTGGCCGCGTTGTTTACACGACTTATTCTCTGATGTTTTGCCATTATTTTTTTGTTTTGTGTTTGGCATTGTTAAGCCAATAGTATTTTACTAAATTAAAAAAAAAAAATAATGCAGAATTTTCAAAAAAACCCATATTTTATAGTGTGTACAATTTATTATGCATATTTTATGTTGCGTTGCGCATTAACATATTGTATTATTATTTATTAAACATATTTATAGTGATGTGGAGTGTAGATAATACGCCGCTGTTGGCCTATATTATACTGGATATATTTTTCATATTATTATTTTTTATAATTTATTACAATTAAAAAATTAGATTTTTATCACCCGGTAGTTGCTAACTTTATATCTACATTATTTCGACCGCTAAGAATGCGTCCACCTATTGCTATATTTTTAGATGAGCACCATGTATTGTTAAATTTAATTATTTTCATACCTATCGTAGTATCATGATATCATTGTTCGATGTTATTTATTAGGGATTTTAATCAAACAAGTTATGGCAGCGAACGAGGAATGTTATGGGGCTCTAAGAAATATTATTATACTATAGAATGCATATTTTATGACAATACATAGTCATATACGATTGCATAAAAGCTACATAAAGGAATCAGCGATGTAGAAAATTGAATTAAACGATATATTGTTTGGTAGGAGTATTTAGAGTTCAGGTTAATCATTTGGAGATAGCGCTAAAATAGGCTGAGCTGGAAATAATTTATTACGAGACAGAAAGAGCGAATTCAACCTTCCAAGGGTATTTGGGAGAAATCAAATTTAATTTCGTAATGAAACAGAAAGGACAGTCATTACCAAATGGATGAAAAGTGAGGAAAGGAAGTCGTTTGTGCCGAGATATAAGGTGAAAACAGAGACAATTTGGAAACAAAGGAGAAAGAAATTGGCTTGCGGAGTCAAGAGATTATTTTCGTAATGGCTGTAAAAAATCATGGTTTTAATTTTATACCTGCGGTTTCATTTTTTGACACTATTGTTTTTCGTGAATAGCTATAATATAATATTAATTAAAATATTGATTTTACTGACCTCCGTCGGCGTAGCTCAGAATCTCTACTCTAAGAGCAATAGCCATTGGTGTAGCAAGAATGAAAGCTACTACCCAGATGGCAGCTATTGAGAGTTTTGCGCGAAATTTCGACGGAACTGCGCTGTTAGTTAAAAAATATATAATATTATTATCTGTTAATATTTCTTAGTGTACTAAATTTCTTCATTTCTAGAAAAAATACACGCAGTGTTAATACTAACCTGAGTGGACTCAGTATGGCACGATGCCGATCGATTGCGATTGCGGTCAGTGTAAAAATACTTACGTTCACTGACAGGACTTGTATAAATGGACAAAACGGGCACATAAACGCTGGTAAATTCCATCGTTGCAAAAGAGCCGCCTGGAACTAAGTGATTACAATTATTGTTAAGTTCATTATTTGAATATTCAATCGAAAATCTGTTTTTAATTAAAATAATCCCACTAACAACGACTGGATTAAATGAGTGTACATTGATAAATTGATTTAATCTAATAAAAAACAATAACTATAGAATTTATGTGGTAAGATGTTGCAAAACGAGTCTGCTAAAGAAAGTAGTTATTGAATAATAATATTTCTATAAAATAGTTAATCAAATCAATAAAAACGTTATGTATCAAGTTAAAATATCTGATTTTTTTTTAATGAAAAAATGTGGGTTAATAATGTTTAATAAAAAAAGAATCCAGTAGGTGAGAAATTCACATCAAATAAAGAAAGCGTTAACGCGTGGTAAGTGTTATTCTAATTTTTCGTGTAGTTTTCATGAATAGGTTAACTTGCAACTCTTTTCTGAAAGTATTCGTAATTCTACATAGTAAACAAACATTTATTTTTTCTACCGGAACTTAGTCCCTATCACGCTTTTGTCATTCGGTATTCGTTTTATCTACCCCGATTGTTTGACACAGTGAAGTCAACTAAGCAAATATTATCAAACCCACATCTGATACAAGATATGTACTTGGAAGGATATCGATAGCCACGTATTAGTTGAAATCTCTTTATATCCTTTCACGTTTATCTCTCACTCTAAATGTCACCATAATACTACCATCTCATATGGTCTTTTGATGGGTTTGAAACTCATCTGCCAACTCGGCGAGTACATTATAGTACTCGCTAAGTCTTTAAATTTAAATCAACAGAGAAAGTTTAAAAATCTTACGTTTTATTTATAGACTATGATATTATATAAAATCATAAATTAAATATACTATAGATAAACAACGCATATGGAAAGGCTTCTTCTTCTAATTAGTTTTTCTGTCAATAAGGCTCAGAATGGATTTCAAACATCGCTTGCCGGTGGTACCTTTCAAAGTAAAACGAATACTAAAAATTCAATATAATATCCATAAAAAGGTTACTAAAAGTATTCCTTAAAGTAACAATTAAATAAGTAACAATATAATTAGTTAAATTTAATTCCGCCATCAATTAAAGTAAATAAACCAAAACCTTTTTTTTAACACAACTTAATAATTCTTTGATAAATTTCCGTTTCATATCATTCTCATTGGTGCCTCCCTTATTATTAACATTTGTGTTATCCGTTTTCCTTTTAACACTGGCAAACCCATTTCACTCACAACGTTTTGGTGGCACAATTCATGACACTGTTTCCAATAAATTATTTATCCCCTTTTTTAAAAAATAATATGTTTCAGCCCTGTGTCAATAAAAACAAAATAACGGCTTTGTAATATAAAATAAACAACAACAATTCATTTTTTTTAAAACATTTCTTATTTTTCGTTAAATATTATTAATACGGATTCCCTTTAATGTACACGCTAAAAACCAATCTCAATTTTATATTTACTTGAAACGGTATGGAAAATAAGCCAATGATAATATCGGCCAACGCTAAGTTTGCTATGTAACAATTTGTTACATTGTGCATACGGCGACTCGAAGTCACTATCCATATTACTAGCGCATTTCCAACTACCGCCATAACAGATATTGTCCCATAGAACATTGACAAAAGAACAACAATGCTAACCGGCACATCATAAAGTACTGTCGCTGAAAAAGAAAACACCAAAACGTTCAGTAAACAAAAGCTGGTGACTCAATTACACATAAATAAAATATTCATTCTACTTTATTAATTGTACTTATTACTTACGTTTACAATTTAAATAAAATTATATATTATTTCTTATTTTTTAGAAAGCAAACTAAATTTGCATATAAATTATTGTGTTACAACTTGAATTACACTTTGTAAGATAGCCTTATTGTTACAATGCTTTACAGCTGTTTGTGTGTGAAATAATAATGATAAAAATTGATTAACATTTTTGATACAGTGTTTATTTTTTTTGCTTAGGTACAAAGTTAAAAAGGTTTTTATTTACCAATAAAAGTCCAAGTTGAGTTCTAAGAAACCACAAAATAAGGACTTACTTAAATTTTTATTTTTTCAGGCTAAATTATTAACCATTTACTTATTGCATCTGTTCTCAATAGTATATTATTAGTTAATTTATATTACTTACGCTACATTTTCTCATATTTAATATTTATTTTAAATAATATGTAGTAAGCACTTTCCTTAATACATAACTTTCTAACATTAGAACTTATGATTGTCGATGTAATACTACAACAGCAATTGAAAAGTTCATTTTATATTACTCAATTAAACGTACGCCACTTCACACAATTAACATGGTATGTCGACTTAGACGTCTGTCATGGTCAGTCTAGCAATTCTACTACACTCTTTTCTTCGACCCTAGCCAATCACTTAGGTCTTTTTTCAGTTTCATCTTGTACAGGTAATTTTTAATGTTGAACGCAACTTTTACTAGAGCTGTTAATGATGAAAAAATCATCTGAAGTTCTTTACAGTTATTTATTTTATATTAAACTTCTTATTTTGTGCATTTACACGAAGGTAATGGACTTTCAGTTATTAATGGTACTGTACAGCAGATAGGTTCTTGTGCTGTAATGTATTACTATTTTTTTCATTCGCAATGACATTAAAAACGGCACGCCCTCGAAGCCAAAACTGCCTAAATCATGGTTACGGACATTATTTCATTTCGATTGCACACATTCTCGTGCATGAACGCTATTATTTTTTCACCTTGTATAAGCACAAGTTTCAAGAACATCGATCGATCATATCTCTTGATAATAACACAATGCTTTCGAGTTTATTTCTGAAAAACTTACTGTTTGAGTAAATCATGGTAACAAACTCAATTAACTTATAGTGTTTTGTTAATCGATTAGTTTACCACAAAATTAAAAGTTTTAGTTTTCGTAAATCAAATAATGTGCAATGAGTAATGACATAATATAAAGATTTGTTACATTATTTCTGTTATGTAATAATTACTATTTAGTATTTAACATTAAGACAAAAACGCATGATTATAATATGTTATATTCATTGTGTTATTATATGAAATTTAAAATTTATAAAACCTGATTTATGTATGCATAGCATATTTTAAATTCTTTAATTGTTTATATATAATTTTTATATAAGGTTTTATCAATTTTAAATATTAGATGCTTTTATATTTTAATCAAGTTGTGGTTTTTTTTTTGCCCAACATTGTTTTTTACGCTCAATTTGCACATTAAAAAAAAGCTTACATGTATTTTGAATTTATATACTATTTTTATGATAAATCCCTTCGCCGCTTTACATAACTGCATTTTAATATTTTTTAGCTTTACTGTATAACTGAGAATAGATAGTAAAAACGTATAAAATAGTAATATATAAAATAATAAGGTTATTCTGGTTTCTAAAATTAAGACTATAATATAATCTCCGCGAATTCCAATAATTTGTTTTCCTATTCATTTTTGTATGAGAATTTATGTTTACAACATTTGAGAGTTCTTTAAGTTTATGAATGACAAAATGACCATCTCCTGTTTAATATATTCTATGCAATTAACTTTCTGATCTAACACTTCTATAGCTATGATATTCTGTTTCCAGTAGTGTTTGTTCTATATTTAATTTGAAGTTTTTAGTTACTGTTTTGTTTACATTAGTTTTAACATAGCTTTATCAGAAATATACAAAGATTAATCGACAATTTAAATTTCTATAATTTTATTTCTGTGACATTATTGACAGACTGTAGTATTCGTTTTTGTGATTGACATAATAATGTTGGGTTATGACATATAAGATTATCATGTTAATAGTTGGAAATTATTTTTGACAAGTGGTGTAGTAATTGGATATTTTGAACATAAAAAAAAAGGTGACATATCAACTTAAATTGAAGGACTGTTTACTTAATATTATCGTAGTGATAACTCGAGGTTTAGCACTTTGAAAATACGTATGTTATTTGCCAGTCTATATTCGTAAGTTTCGGATATTTAATACAACCCCCAAAAAACAGCTTGCGTACGAGTCCGCAACACCACGGAATACATTTTTATGCCTCGTTCCGCGGAGCACCGTCCCACAGTGTTCCAAAATCAAAAAAAGCTGGCCATAAATAGTTATCTTAAAATATTATTTTGACAATAATTTGTTTTTAAAATAATACCTAACCTATTTATTTACAAGTTCCTAAAAAAAAATGATTTTAGGAGTAGAGAGATGTTTGAAGTTTACGAAAAGTAAAATTTTCAAAAATTGCAATATAAAAACTTGTTTATTTTAACTACTGTAATATTAAAATTAATTGATGTATAAGACGTTTGGAAATTGAAATTGTACCCTTATATATACTAGTAAATGAAATGTTATCTTATATTATAGTAGTTTTTTAAATAACCTTATCTTTGTAGACGTTTTATTGGTTTGACAGCTATAATACGAGTATTGATATTTTAATAGTTAATTTTAACTATTTTATCCCCAAGACCCCCTTCCAATTTTATAATATAATTAAAGTACACATTTGGAACTATAACATAGCGTTAAGTTTAGCTGCGCATACTTGCGCCATTTCTCATTATACGCATTTGAACTTGGACTTAATGGCGCGGCGCAGCATATACACGACGCGACGCGATGAGGCGGTAACGATATCACGTTATTCAAGTTATAAACACGCATTATTTTCTTTACTTTTTATTATATTATATTCATAAACTAGCTAATATGTCTTTACCGAAAATTACCAGAAGAGACTTACACAACATAATTTATTTACAACAATGTAGTAAATCGATCATTAAAAAAAAACATAGCAATTAATTTTGTATGTGAACGCTTAGAAGTAAACCAAAATTTCAATTGCAATACTAAAAAAACACAAATCAACAAATACTTGGTCGCCAATTTTTTTAATAAGTCAGACTAAACTAAAAAATTCCTAATTAATTTAATAAATTGTTATAAGTATTATATTTAAAATTTAGATTTTTTGACAAATGGAATGATTCGAGTCGTCAATATAATCGTTTTGAATCAAATAATTTAGTTTGGCTTGACCTTTTGATTAGTTTTAGTTTGAGCTTGATCTAGCTCTTTAGCTAGATTTTTCGAGCATATTGATTACAAATAAACCATCAGGTATTTTTTGTTATTAGGTCTTTTTAAAAATAAATGATAGTTTATGTTTTTTTTTCAAAATAAATAACAGGCTCTAGTAATCATTGTGGTCGAAAACAACTTGACTTTTACTTCATCCAGCGAAAAGACAATAAGAAAAAAAACTGATAACAAGTTTGGGTTTTGTGGCCTCAAAAACATATGTATCGATATGTCACACCATGAATTCCATAAAAATAAAAAAACACCCCCCCCCCTAAACACCCTAAATTAGGGGTGAATTTTAAAACTGATAACAAATTTGGATTCAGTGTCCATTCAAACTCATGATTTGATGATTCGGAAAATATCGATTTTTCGGGGTAAAATTAGGGAATTATTAGTTTTGGTCACCATTTTTTGATTTTGGAACACTGTGCGTCCGCTCCTTTTTTCCCGCCTTGATTCCGAAGCCTCAAAGCAAGAAATATTTTTGTTGCTAACCCAAAATAAACACTAAATTTGTTACAATGTAACCACGGTACTCGAATGGTAGGTATTGATTAATTTTATGTTGTGGCCAAAAGTTTTTTAGTAGTTTTTTAATAATTGGCCTTAATCGATTTATTGGCAAAACGTTCGCTTGGCTAGTTATTTTGAATCAATTATTTTTAACAACACATAATTTAAAAAACTTAACATCCTCCCTTGCATCCCAACCCCATCTTTGACCTCATCTTATTTGCATATTTATTTATATAACTTCATTACATTTATAAACTGAATTATTAATATTATATTATAAGAATTACTATGGTTTATATTATCACTGGTCAGTTAAATTCCAAGTTTTTACGAAAGTTCTAATTTATATTTTATTCTGGAATCAACAAATGACTTAAAAGATATGTAAAGGACGACTATAAAACAAACAAAATTGTTAACTAAGATAAAATATAAGCTACACTGACACTCAGTTGTCGAGTTATTATAATTTATCCAGACATTAAGATGTGATTGACACAAAATAATGTATTCAAAAATATGTGAGATATAAGATTCGGTATAATTATTATAACTATAAATAGTACCAGGAGTGATTAAAATATTAAACTTGTAATCAGTTAAGAAAGCGTCAGATCGTATTATTTCTGGATAAATGGAAGTTTAGAGAAAAGCCATACGCAGAAAATGTTAAGGTTAAAAATTAATTTTAATTTAATCATATTATTTTAATTTTAATTTTAATTTAATTTAAAAGTGTTGAGAGATAAATAAAGTATTTATTTATCAAAGTATTTTGGAAAAAAATCTGCTATAAATAATTCTAAACAAAACTGTAATAATTCATTTTACTGTTTATATTTTTTTCATCGGTAGCACTTCGGTATTGTCAAAATAAGACAAAACAATAGTGCAAATTATAATTGATTATTTATGATTGTGATAAACTTTTTATTGAATATTTAGTATTATATACTTAATAAGTAAACATAAATTCCCAGCTTTTTTTTTTTGCATTTTACCGAGGATAATAAAGCAAAAAAAAAAACATGAAAAACTGATGGTAATGAAAAATGATAGCCTTAGAGACCAAAAAACGAGAACAATTGCTGAAAAATGAACAGAACAATGTTGAGTAATTGTACCGATTATTTAAAATTATGTTAAATGATTTGGGTACCAGCCAATGATAAGTGATTAGTTATGTTTATACACGTCTATATCGCATATTCGATGTTATATCATAATAAAACCAATAAACCATATTAAATGTCAAAGAAATATTTTTTATCTCACAAAACACATTGTTAAAATTTGTGTTTTTTTCAAAACAGGTTTCTAGTAGAAGACTATAGAACATGAATATGTGATCATTTAGTTTAATGTAACGTAATATTCCGGGAAATCAAATGGCGTTACATAAAGAGCATAATACAAATACAAAAAGAAAATATAAACTTTGACTCGTTCATACCATTAGATCTTCCGCGATAATTTCTGATAATTTAGATGATCATTTTGTAGAAATTGTAAATTATACATAATTATGAAACGGAAATTACATCTTAATTCGATTTAATATTATAACTTGTAAATAAGTGGCAAACTCATTAGACTTATATTTGTATATTGAGGAAGTAGGGACGATATTCAGTCCCGATATAAATTCGATTAATACGATTTTTATCTTTTTTTTCTTTAAGTTACTATTCGTTTCGGGTGTTGGGTATCATATTATTAACAATTTCGTTTCTGTCGAGTGATATCCAAAGTATCTCTCCCCACAATTATTTTCTTTTAAGCTTTCCCTGTACTATTAGCTGAAGTAATTTGTATCGTTGATTATTCCTCATAATATGTCCCATATATGATAACATGCTAACTTTTATATTTCTCAAAAGTTCTTTCTCTTTTCAAATTTTTTCAGTACGTTTGATTGGTAATACGGTTTATCTATAATATTTCAAGAGCTTTAATTGTCTTCTTTGTTGTCTGTGTTAGCGTCCAAGTTTCAACTCTGAAGTGCTTCTCTGGCTCTTTCGATTCTGCATTTTATTTTTAGTGAATTATCCCAATCTTCATTTATTGTTATGCAAGGCAAATATTTTATTGTTTGACTTATTTATGAGATCATTTTTAATTTCTCCCCTAAACGATGATTTTTTGATATTATCATATATTTGGTTACCTTTGAGATAAGGGGTAAACCATAATTATCTATAACTTTCACTATCCGATGTCTCATGGCCGTATCCAGCACTCATTTTTGGGAGGGGTTTTATTTAAAGATAAAACTAGTAATTAATATTTAGGATTTTAATTAAGTAGAACCATATCAGTTTTTATATATAAGGGTTAATAAAAAAAAACATTGTATTATTAATACATCTCTCATTGAATGTAGTTACTAATTACTGATAAATTTATTTATTACGATTGTAATTTCTGTATAAATCCGTTTTTGTTTTTACAATTTCTATCTAATACCATTGTTTATAAATATTATAGATAACCCACAGAGACAAATTTTAGTTCTGTACGCTAACATGATTTTGATCAAGATTATTTTTATAATAAATAATTGTTTGAATAAAACGTATGTGCGTACTGAATGAGCTACTATATACACCCTTCTATCAACCACAATTACTCTGTCAATTAATTCAATCTATGTTAAATTAATATTAATAATGTAAAGCAAATTTTGTATCCAAGATATCCTTTATTATATATAATATAATATAATATAGGATCTCCTTGAACACAAAATTGCAAACCTTTGCTGACTCTATGTGAGTTTTTAAATGCTGAAAACAATTCGTTTCTATGTTAACTTTTGCTTGTTGTTTGAATAACAAGACGTAGCAATTGTATATTGATAGTATACTAAAAGTCAATACTTAGATTTTAATATTTTCAGCGAACAATATACATTGTGTCGAAGCGTTCTGCAGATATATTTTACGTTAAAACAATTACTTTTTCTAACGACTTAAACATTACTGTCAAGTTCTACCATAAGTTACGGACGTAACTTCAAGCTATTTAAAAAAAAAATCCGAAGGCGACCAAAAACTAAAAAGGGGTTCGCCTGGAGACCTGATGGTAGATATTTCGAACACATACAGTTATTATATTACGTAACATAATACAGCAATATGTTCTTCTCTCTCATTGTTATTTATAATAACTGTTAAAAAAAAAAAAGTAAACTTTTATAAGAACACTTGGAATTTTAAAAGTTGGTGAATTCATTTAAGTATTTGTGAGTCTAACAGGGCGATTTCGAATTTGGGCTTCAGAGTAGGTAATGCAAAAATCCAGCACGCTGTGTAGAAATCTCTTAATATATAATAATTTAGATATCAAATCTAAAGTTTAAATCCAATTATTACTAAATACTATATACTAATATGTTAATTTTTTTTTTTAGATTCAAGTGCAATTATTTACATGTGGCGATCGATCATAAATTTCCTAATAAGTATAAATAATACGAAGTAACCCGTAAGCAAAACAAGTAGTAATTTATTTTAAATATTTATAATAATTTAATTGTATACAGCAGTAAGGGTCCGGAATTAACTACAGACGAAATATTGTACTTAAGTTTCAGTAAAATTATTACATATTAAATTCAAAATAAAATAATTGAAAAAACATTTTTTTATATGACTGGTTTGTTAATTCTAGATCTTTTTTTAGTGCTTGATTTAGTGTAAGTAATGTATTCCTTAGACAAATTTATAAAAAGGGAGTGTAATTTTTGGAAATATTTTTTTCAACAAAATCAATACATTTTTGAGTAATATATTCTGGTCTCACTTGGAAGTAAAATAAAGATACGTAGTTACGTACCTACGCTAAAATATCTAAACAATTGAGTTACCTCCCCTCTCTTCTACTATGTCAAGTACTGTGTGGATTAGGTCTATGTACGATGATGCCATTTTATTCTCAATTCTCCCTTTATAAATTATTTTGGACAACCGCACAATTATAATTTATTTATTTAAGTAAATTTACACATTTTAGCACTATTGTCATTCCAGATAATTGAACTAAACTACTTTAATAATTTTTTCGTTTGTAACTTCTCACTTTCGCGTTGTGGTCGTTCTCGTTATAGTTAATAAACCCCTCACATTTTCTGCGCAGTAAAAATTAATTACTTACTTTAAAATTTGCGTCCAGTTAATCAAGTAACAACATTTTGTACACCAACAAGATTTTTTTGTAAATCAAATTACCAATATCTATCCCGTGATCCTACTGGATAACCTCCTTCGTACTCTCTTATACGCAAAGTCTGTCGATACCGGGATATTTTAGTCATTAGGTTAGTCATTAGGTTAGTCTTAAGTTAGTCATTAAGTTAGTCCTAAGTTATGCCCGGATCGGCTTCGATGCGTAAGTCCACCATTGTCTGTTGTGTGGCCGCTCAGTCTGTCGATACCGGGATATTTTAGTCATTAAGTTAGTCTCAAGTTAGTCATAAGTTAGTCTTAAGTTATGCCCGGATGGACATCTATGCGTAAATTCACAATTGCTTGAAACGCCCCTACCACACATTTCTGGTGGTTGTACAGTAAATACAATTTGAGCATCATCGTAGATGGAGACACCACATTAAAAAAAACGAGCCAAATACTCTACCTCATAGGTGGTTTGGAAACGAGTATACAATCCCTAATACGAAGTAACCGGTAAGCAAAACATGTAGTAATTTATTTTAAATATTAATAATAATTTAATTATATACAGCTGTACGGGTCCGGAATTAACTACAGACGAAATAATTGTACTAAGTTTCTCTGCTCAGTAAAATTCTTACTATTTAAATTCAAAATAAAATAATTAGTTTGTTAATTCTAGACATTATTCTAGTGCTTGATTTGGTATAAGTAATGTATTCCTCCTTATTGACGTCTTCCAATAAGGTACACCAACGAAATTCGAAAAAAACTAAAATTCATTGGCGTGTCCATAAGCCTAAGCAGACGATAACGATAATATCACGTATTTATTATTATTTAATTCTATTTTAGGCTTTAAAGTTAAAAGAAAACTTACATCAAAAAATTTTTCTTTTTTTTACATCATTTTCAGGAATACTTTAAAAAAAAAATGGAACAAAAGACATAAAGGAAAGGTAATACAAATATTTTTCGATACAATTTCGGGGGGGGGGGTTGAACCCGGACCCCCTCTTGAATACGGCCATGCGATGTCTACCCAATTATCGTTGAAGTCAAAAAAAGTTATTTGCAAATATAACTAAATCGTCATAACTAATTGTATGAGATAGATGTGTCGCTTCTTAAGTGACTATGTATAATACGAGTCTTTTGTTACAATATGTTTATTATGCATTATATTTATTAAAACTAATGATAGCCATGTTAATTACTCACCTTCAGTATATATATCAGTCTGATTGGTGCAATAACTAAATGATGCAGATATGTTGTTTGTGAGATTTCCGATTTCTGATGAAATATCACAAGCTACGTAGTCCACTTCCATGCTGGTTGGTAAACTGTTAGGCCTAAAACATATTTAACATAATTATTCATACATATTATATATTATCACAACTTTATTTTTAATAAAACATGCAGACTGTATTATAATCACAGACTGCTATAGTATATGAATGACACAGCATACTTATCATTACATAGATATTAGATACATAAAAGAGAACTTAAAGCACACAGTTAAGTATAAATTAGTTAAATGGTAAAATTAAAACCCCATTTTCTATTGTTCTATTATAATAAAATTAAAATAATTAACCTTGTTCGGTGATAGCTTTTTAATTTAGGTTGATCAATGATCACATTAATTAGTTAATTTGGATTTTGTTTTTTGCGTGCGATTACCAAATATATTCTAGTGGTCATTGATTATTTTTCTTCGTTGATATGGTTCTTAAATATTTAATTTTTTTATTTATGGTTTTCTAATTCAACTTGCGAATAATAATTGTAGTCATAAATTTGGTTTCATAGCCAAAGTATCGCCAAAGTATTTATATACTAGACAGCAGTCAGCATATTGCAGATATCTGTTGCAACACTCTAAGAAACTTTGCTGTATTTAGTAGACTTGCAAATCCATTTAAACCTACTGTGTCCTAATTAAATCCTTAATTGCTGCTTTGTAAACAGTAAGACTACTCTGTAACTGTTATATTCAGATAAGCAATTTTGCTGTTAGAGCTAATAATACAAAATAATAATAATAACAAAATAGTATGCATTTCAGAATATTGAATTTGACTGAAAAAATGTATAGAGTTGAAATAAAAATATCCCTCTTAAACGGATTTTAGTAGCATAATATTTTTTAACTATACCTATAACTGATGTCTGAAAGGATCAATGATACAATAATATTTTTAAATTTCCATAGTTGGATCTATAGGACTTACACAACAGCCGACAATGTTTCATATAAAAAATAATACACAATAAAAATTCACTTGTTTATAGATTCCTAATTTTTCTGACATCGCTGTTTTTTTTATAATAGTTCATAATAGTTATAGTTCCGCATTTTTGCATGCTTGAATTTCCTTTTAGCTTACTAATATCATTGGTATTTTTAACCAATTTCGACTTTAAAATCCCAACTAGTTTTACTAGATATGTTTCAATCTATATCTTATATCTGCTCCTTCGAATATTATCTGTAATATACTGTAGTGCTTGATATTAATTTATTAAATAAATTAATCAGATTATAATTTTTAACCAACATGAAAGTCTTCATATATATTTAAATAGATTAACAACAATAATTTGTTATTTATTTCAGATTAGTGAAGCGATGATATAAATAATGTATACACATATTAATAATAGTATTAACCATTTTCCAACGAATAAAAACTACAAAAAATATTTGAATCGAATATATTTGTTCTTAATATATATATATCTTTTCCAATATTTATCAACAATAGTTAATATAACTATTTGGTATTGCGATAGTTTTCGGCTACATATTATCATAATATAACATGTTGGTTTTTCGAGACTACCGTTTAAAAAAGAATCGTATTAAAATTCTATATAAACTAATTGTAAGACCACTAAGAAATCACTAAGCTTTGTTGAAATTTTAAATATGAAACAACATTAGGTAATAATGAGTTAAATTGTTTTATTTAAAAAATTAATAATTAATTTCGAACGGGAAATGAATTCAAATTTTGTTTTTATGGATAATAACTTCAAAAGCATTGAAAATATTGTTTAGTGAACACGAATTTGTGGAAGTATAACTAAATGATGATTGACCATATTTATTATCAAGCTATTAGACTTATCGTCGTTGTCGCAAAAAAAAACTCCCACGTGTTAAAACCTAATTGTTCAGGAGACGCTGAAACGTGTAAAACGATTTATAGTAAGTAACACATAGGAAGTTTTAGTTTTCATTTATTCTACAATGGAGATTGATAGTACGTTGGAGATTTTATCATGTTATGAATTATTATAGCTTTTTTTTTCTGTATACAGAGATACCAAAACCTCAGAATCGTAAAATTGGCACATAGGAGGTTTTTTCGTGGCAACGACGTTATGTTATTTTAACCGCTCAATATTTTGAGTATGAGCACTTGTTTTTATACCTAGAAAATTATTATATGAACGATTCAATACTTAATTGAGTAATTGACCTATTCACTAAACTAATTTAACTTACTCTACTGGTAAAATATCACTAGTATAGAATATAGCTTTATTTTTAAACATTTTTATATAAAACAATATGGTTACGCTAATTTGGGTTGTGTACTAACTATTGTAGATTGAAACGCGAATAACGTGAAATGAAAAGTCCCAAGTTATTTTCCTACTTAATATTAATAATATTAATTATGCTTTTTACTTTTCGATTAAATGGTAAAACTATTTATGAATTAGAGGCAAAACTAATAATTTATAAATCATAATCGCGTTTTACACATCAAAGAAACATAAAATATTTATGAATAATACAAAAGCAATAAAACGATTCAATCGTATTATATACAACTGTTTTCCGATGAATTTTTGGGTTCCTTAGTTATTATGGATAATAATTATGAATGATTATTAATATACCTTGGTCATTTTATTATTTAAATTAAATGTTCTTTAGACATGTATAAATGATAAATACCGCAAGTAATATTATACACTACGTAGAAGCTTTCGTTGATAAAATAAACTAGATAAATTTAGAGGTTTTAAAAATTAATAAATATTATATACTGTAAAATAATTACTTGTCTTTATTACAAATATTCTTTTAAAATAAATATTTTATTTCAGCTACTTTATATAATACATTTGTAATTTATATAGGTAAAACTTATATGGTTTATACCTCTATTAATTAAGAAGTCGTTTCTAAAGATATCCAGAGGATTTGTAGCTAAAATCGTTGTTTTCTATTTATAATTAGCAGTACATTATGAGATAGGGTAATAGTTCTAGCACGTTATGACAGTTTTTTCTACAATTTTATTTTTTTCCTATTTGTTTGTATGTTCCATCAGCTTTTTCATTATATATTTTATAGATACAAATTAGATCTGAACAGTTTTAAATAATTTTGCAAAGTTTCTAGATGTGACACGTCATCAGAAAACCTACCATTGAGGTCAGTTATTTATCTCTATTTGGTGGGAGAAAAAAAGGGATACTATTATTGGTACCGCAATAACTAATGAAAACGTATAAATTAATATCGTCGCTATAATAAATCTTATTGTTATTTCGATTTTGATAAAAACAATTTTTTTTTATATTCATCCATGGGACGTCGCCGTTTTCATCTAAAATAAATTAATAACTTGCTACCTAATATTTTTTAAGATCCCCTTATTTATTTTTTGGTACTCGGAATTCCATTTATACATTTTTTTTAAATATCCCGAATCGAATTAATTCCGCCTGTAAGCGTAAAGCAGTAGAAGACATTTGTGGCCTAAAAAAAATAATGATTTTGAAAGACTAAAGTGTTTTAAGAGGATGACATATATTGCAAATATTGCATATGTGTTTTAACTTTTAATAGTTATACGAGTCAAGAAGTAAAGAAAAAATTTTAAATATGGTTTTTATAGAAGAATTGCATACCTAATTATTACCATAGTGTTAGCTCAAAAACACAAATTTATTGACTTGTGTCGTTTTTGAAACACATATATATTTTAATTTATTTTGGCCGAAAACAGAAACATTTTACCTATGTCCAATATATTCTATTTATATCATTATTGCCATTATTTATTGTGATGATATACAATTAACTTTTACTGTAAAAAATTCCTTAAAAAAAAAATCGTATTCGCGAGAAAAGAATGTTAAACTATATAAATAAGCCGGGTACTAATTACAATATATTTGGGTACATTGGAAGTATAACTAAAAATTCGAATGAAGAATAAAAAATTAATATTATGTTTGCAAAGACAGACGATTGATTTTTCTCTAACCCTGGCCGAATTATATTATTTACACGATATTTAGTGCCTAAAAGAAAATTATTATATTTTTTTATTGTTTTAGTACACGCTATAGTTACAAATAAAAACCCGTATAGATGTTTTTTTTTTAAATTCTAGATTAGATACGCCATCACATTAGTTGAGTCTTGGTAATTATTTCCGCATTAGAACAGTAATTTTTTTTATAATGAAACGCATAAGTTTCAAATAATAATAATAATAATAATGAATAAAAATATATAAATTTGGAACTTATACAGCCAGCGTACAATCTAAAGGCATAACTATTGTTTTTGTACAAATTAGGTCAAAGCAGTTGGTGTACAAAATGATCATAAATGTAATCTTGTTTTTTTTAAATTAAAAAAACCATACTAGAAAAGTATGTTATAATCAAAACTACCCTTTTTGCTGCACAATAATGGCTAATTTAATTGAACTCGTTCTTTTTTATAAATACTATAGTATCATAAAGCAAATTAATGTATTTTTAAGGGGATGTTTATTTTATCGAATTACATTCCAAATACTATTAAGCTTGTCAGTCAACTGTCTATATTAATATTTGTTGATTTTAAAATACTAATACGTCCTTATAATCCCCCTATACTAATTTTCCTTTTGGTTTAATACACATATTATTATTTATTCTACTATAATTATGGACAAATACTACACAAAATCGGCTTTTCAGTTGTATTTAATATTGCAAACGATTTTATTAATATACAACAGTTAATTAATATCATCGTAATTGATAACAATTTCAGCCTGATGTTTTTTTTTAACTGTTACTTTACAGACATTTTTAGTTATGTAATAATACTTGATAGTTTTATTGTAACGCTTGTTAATTTAACTAAACAAAAAGTCATTAAGATTTACGTTATTGTACTTGTAACCGTAAATTAGTTTAATATCCAATGAATACGTACAGTTTTAATCAATTTCGCATTTGTAGTGCATTCCAAATCAAAACTATTTGAATAGATTGTTGGGTATAGTTAGAGCCCCAATAATATCACAATGTTACCGAAAAT